AGGAAGCTTAGATGAGGTGCCTAGAATAGGCAAATTCACAGTGACAGAAGTAGATTTGAGGTTACCAGGGGAGAGGGGGTCAGGGAATTATTGTTTAGTTCTGTTTGGATGATAAAATAGTTCTGGAAATAGATGGTGGTGATGAATTATACAGCATTGTACCTAATGCCACTGAAGTGAACACTTAGAAATGATTAAAATGGTAAATTTTGTGTTATGTACATTTTAACCACACTCACAGAAAAGGACTACCAAGAGATAAGAAAAAAAAAGAACCTCTAAGCTTAAGATCGTCAGAGATTCAAGTGGTTCTAGTTGGGGGTAAATTGTCCTGTCCAGCTCCATGCGCCAGGCAGGCATGGGTGTGAGGAGACCCTCTGCAAGGCCAGGCAAGGTCTTACTTGGGGCCCTGAGGATGGGAGTGTCACCCAGTTGGGGGTCAGGGGCTGCTACGTGCACAGTAGGGAGGTGAAGGTGCAGTGCTAAACGGGGCCTGAGTTTCCTCTTATTCCACAAAGAGCAGTGTCTGGAGACCACAGACCAAGACTCCCCTCTAGCTTGCGTCTTTCCAGCTGACTAACCCGGAGCAAGTGTCTGACCTCTTTGAACCTCTGTTTTTTAATTTATAAAATGGGAGCAAACACCTAACCCTGTAGCACTGGAGGCTCAGAGACAATGGTATATGGCAGGATTGGCCCTGGTGCCTGGTGTACAGTAGGTGCTTAATGAATGGCAGTGATTTGTGCCATAGGAGTTACAGGTGCCTCCCTTCTGCAGGCCTTGAGTTTCATCTCTCCACAAATATTTAATGATGTACCTACTGTGTGCTGGGAGTAGTGTGATGAATAACATGTGCTCCTGGCCCTCATGTAACCTGATTTCTAGAGGAGACAGATTGCAGACAAGGAAGCAAGCACATCATCTGTAATTATGAATTATAATTAGGTCTGTTAAGGAAGAGATAGGAGTCCAGGAGAGAGAATAGTATGTGTGTGTGTGTGTATGTGTGTGTGTGTGTGTGTACATGTGTGTGTAACTCAAGGGATTTGGGGAGGGCCTTTCTGGGATGGTGGCATTTATGCCAAAGCCCGAAGGATGGGAAGAACCCAGCTATGCAGAGGACCTGAAAAAGAGCAGAGATAGAGGTGTTTGAAGGACCGAGAAGCCCACCATCCCTTGTGTGTGGCTTTGGGTCCAGACAAGGAGAATGGGCTCGGGCACGGAATGATGGTGGAGAGGAGGGCAGGGGTCAGGTCATGCAGGGAGCTCCCTGCCTGGCTGCTGCCTGGAGCTTGAGACCCTGGTGTGCTGGGGGGAGTCTTCAAGGGCGTTGTTGACACTGTGCCCTGAGAAGTTTGACGTTCAGAAAATACTAGTGGTTGGGGTGCTGCTAAATGCCAGGCATTGGCCCTGATCTGAGCTTGGTCACACTCACCTTCGGGCTACATCCTTGTCTCTCTGCCTTCCAGGCTTCAGAGCCAGATTGCTCTGCTGCAGCGGCCTTGGGCAGATCCGTACCTTTTCTGTGCCTTAGCTTCTTCATCTATGACTTTGGGGTGACAGCAGTATCTACCCCATACATTTTTATTAGGACCAAATGAGTCCAAGGAGAGGGTTTAGGTCAATAGCAGACACATAGCCACACTCTGTAAGTGTTTTGTTATATTGTCGTCACGGGTGGCTCTGTGGACACTGGTGTTTACAGGGGAGTCGGCACAGCAGAGAGGCAGGAGCACGTCTCTGCCTGGAACTAGACTCCGGGGTTTGCATCCTGGCTCCTCTCTTGGACAGCTGACCAGCCTCTCTGTGCCTCAGCCTCCTCATCCATAAAATGGGACGCTCAGAGTTGTGGTGAGGAGTAAATGAGTTAATTTATGTGAAATGTGAGGAACAGTGCCTGGCGTATAGCAGGTGTGATGCGAGTATTTACTGCTGCTACTTTTATTGTTATTATGGTTTTCGGAGTGGAAAGGCTGAGCAACTGGCCCCCAGCCCCCAGAGTGTAGATGGGCCGCTGGAGGTACACCAGGGGAAGAGGTTGACCTGAGGCTGACTTTCTGAGCTTGAGCTCTGGAATCCTCCGCTGGCAGCCCTGGGGGGGCAAGGAGATGGCAGGGCTGGTGCCCAGAGCCCCTGCAGATGCCCAGGGTCTGCCCCCTCTGCAGAGGGAGGGTTCCTTTCTCGGGTCCCCCAGGGGAGTGGGAATGGTCCCTGCTGACACCAGGAGTGTGGGGCCATGGGGCACGGGCCACAGAGTGGCAGGGGGGCCTGGCTCTCCCTGGCACATTCCAGACTCCTGAGAGAGTGGCCAGGGGCCAGGGTGCCGGAGGGAAGGAGAGAGCCTTTTAAGGAAACATTTCTCTGCTTTAAAAAAAGGGAGAGAGAGAGACAAGAAACACTGAAACACACAACAAAGTTAGTGGGCTGGCTGGCCGGCCCGCTGGCCTGGAATGCACAGCTGTGGGTGGTGGGGAGGAGGCTGCTGGGGGCAGCAGGCCAGGAGGGGCACCCAGGCATCAGGTCCTTTGGCTAGGGGCCCACAGCTCCCCCTTAGATCTAAGTCCTTAAGGGGTGGCAGGGAAGGGACCTGGCTCCTCAGGGGGATGGGGAAGGGACATGAGGTCAGGATACCTGGAACCCCATTCTTTCCACTGCCTTTGGGTGGTTCTGGGAGGGAGGCCCCCCACTTGTCTCAGAAGATACTTATTCATCCCATTCCTGCCTCAAAATGTGTCCATAACCCCCTCCCTCACCCCCAATCCCCAATCTCCAAATGGGGACCAGAAGCCCACCCTCACTTAGCAGATGGGGAGACTGGTGAGCGTGGTTGGCTTGCCTGGGTCTGGAGGGCGTGGCATAGCCTTTAACCTCCCTTCCTCTTGCAGCTTGGTCCTGCCTTCAGGTTCCCAGCCCCACCTGCCTCCGGCTCTGAAGAAAGGAGCAGAGCAGAGTGCTGTCCTGTGCATTGTACCCACTCCCTCCCAGGGCCCCAGGATCCTTAGGTGATAGAGTGTGGGGAGACTGGGGCCCAGGCCCCAGGAGGCTGAAAGCTACAACCCTCTAGTGTGACTGGGGGTGGAAGGAGACAGGGAGGGGCTCATTGCTAGATACACAGGGCTCCTGCCCTGAAGGTGCCTGGCGGGGCCAGCAGTGGCCCCTGTGGCTGAGACCTTGTCTGGTGGGCAGGGCAGGCAGGGATCCCTGCAGGCCACCGCTGCCTCCAGGACCTTCCCTTCCCTCCGGTCTGGTCTCCAGGCACCCTCCATCCCACCCCAGACTCTGTCCCCAAGAAACGTCTAAAATAGTCAGGGTTCTATGCTTGTGTGTATCAAGAACCTCGAATTTCTGGGAGCATTTCCCCCCATGTTCCCTCATTCTCCTGAAAATGGGGGGTGATAAGTTCCCCTTCATGTTCCATCTTGAGAATCAGACTGCCTGGTTCCGAATCCCAATTACCAGCTGTGTGACCTTGGGCAAGTTGTCGAACCTCTCTGTGCCCCCTGAACCATAACTGGTGGTGTAATAGCACCTACCTCACTGGTTGTTGAGAAAGGATTAAATGGGTTAACATGGGTAAAGTACTGATAATAATGACTGTCATATAGTACATATTCAATATGTGTTGGGTATTGTTCCTTTTTTCTTTTTTTGGCCTCATACGATTCTTCTAACTGTCCTGGAGTAATGCTGAGTATAGGGCAATGGATACTGAGACTCAACTTAGGCCTCTTTGCTGGAGAATGAGTTGTACAGGTGGCCTATAGCAGACTCCCAGCCTCTCCAGCCCTTCCAGGGCACACTGTCCTGTGTGTGTTGTCCCTCCTGGGTGGGTGCATCAAGCCTGGGCATCTCTTAGGCTGGTCAAACAACAGTCGGGGGTCAGGAGGAAGGAGGAGCTGGCTGAGGGTGGCCTCTGTGAGCAGCTCTAGCTGGGGCTGTAGGTGTCCCCATCACTGCTCCACTGGGGTAGTGGCTGGGACAGGGGGTTACCAGTACCAGGAGACAACCACCCCCACTTTGGTCATCCCTAGCTTGTGCCCAGATGCCGTCATGTCCGAGGGAGAGCCCCCCCCTCTGTCTCCTCTGTGGGCCCCCTGCCTGGTGCTTGGGGTGGGAACTGGGGCCAAGGTTGAGGTATGAGCTCCAAGAAAAACGTGTCCCAGCTAGAAAAAAAGGACCGCATTGAGTCTCTGATAAAGGGCCCTGCTAATTGTTGAGGTAGTGGTTGGCTGCCTGGCTTGTGGGGTGGAAAGGTTATCTCAGGGTAGGGAGCAATCCAGCCCTCTCCCACTCCCCCTCCCTCTCTGTCTGGGGGCCCAAGTTGCTGCCCCCAACCCCCTGCTTCAGGGAGGAAGATGAGGTGATGATAAAATAATAGCAAGCTTACCCACAGAGGGCGCTCTCACTGCCCAAGGCCTCCGCCGTTTATTAGCCTTGCCATGGCTTTCTTCGAGGGGGGGCTGGCAGGGGTCTCACCGACATGTTTCCCACACACTGTGGGGAACCCAGACACTGTCTGCTGCTCTGACCTTTGGACGAGATACCTTGGCATTGGGGGGCACAGAGGAGGTGACTTTTCCTTTTACAGAGGTCTTAAACACGTTCTTAAAAAATTGAAAGCAAATCTTACTGTATTGTAGAAAATTCAGAAAATAAAACAAAGGAAAAATATTCTTATGCTTATTAACTTAACCCACTGTTATTAAAATCTCTGTGCATTGACCTCCCGTCTTTCAGTGTCTGCATATTTTTTACAGAATTTAAAATTTATGATGAACATTTCATTTCTGCCCTCTTTCCCTAGAGCCTTATTGCCTAAGCAGTTTTCCATGTTGCTGCGCAATCTTCCAACAGACTCTCTAACTGGAGGGTGTGGATTGCCGGGTTGGGGGAAGGGGTGTCTGGCATGGAGGAGGGGCCCTGGCAACGATCGCAGGAGGTCCTGGTTTTCTATGGGGATGAAAGCTGCTAACCTGGCCCTCTCTCTGTTCCTCCCACAGGTGGCTGCCCCCTGCATTCCTCCATCCAGCCATGAACTGGTGGTGAGTGACAGTCCATTCCCAACCCTGCCGGCCCCTCCACCTCTTTCCTCAGCTTCCTGGCTACAGCTCACTTTAGACCCAAGCATGCTGGTAGAGGGCACTGGGCAATTAGGTAAGGAGGAGGAGGGGGACACGTCCCAAGGAGGCTGGAGCTGGACTGGGAGGAAATGAGTCATGAGGTCCCTTCTGATGAGATGCAGGGCCTCCTACTTCACTCTTGAGACTTAAGTCCTTGGAAAAACCCATAAAAGGGCATCTCGAATGTCTCTAAGACCTGGACAGGTGCCTGTTGTCCAGGGGCTTACAGGACCAGGAGATGGACTCTCCTTCTATCTGCCAGGTCCCAGGTCAGGTACCTTTCAGCTGGAGGCAGGAGGATGGATGCCATGACCCCACAGAGTTCATCTACCTGGGCAGTTGCTCACATTTAGGTCGCCTATACCACCTCCAAGCTCCTTGGCTGACTCTTGCTTTTCTGGTTCCTCTTTCTGTCCCCAATGCCTCCCCACCCCCCAATCAGGCTTCAGAAAAGCTTGGACAGGGTCAGGACTCCAGTGGGTGTGGGCTGTGGAGAAGGGCCTGCTCTGGACTGATCCTGGCTGGGCTAATTTGGAATGTTGGGAGCTTTTCCTCCCTACCCTCTGCCTGCCTTCCTACCCTTCACGCTCTCCAGTCCCCCGCTGGAGGCAGGCAGGGCCCTGGTGGCTGGAGGGGAAGGGGTATGTGCATGTGTGCGTGTGTGCATGCGTGCATGTGTGTGTGTGTGTTCCCTGGTGGCTGGAGGGGAAGGGGTATGTGCATGTGTGCGTGTGTGCATGCGTGCATGTGTGTGTGTGTGTATGCGTGCATGTGTGTGTGTGTGTGTGTGTGTGTGTGTGTGTGTGTGTGTGTGTGTAGGGGGTGGAGTATTGTCATGGAGGGCCCATGGGCACAATCTGATTGGCTGGTTCAAGGGTTCCTGTGGTGACACTGATGTGGGTGGGGGTGCAATGGGGGGCAAGGGTGTCACAGGGCCCAGGCAGTGCAGGTATCTGCGTACCTGTGCGGTGACTTGCTCAGCCTGGATCCTGGAATCTCAGTCAGGCCACCTGGCTTCTTTCTTTCCCTCCAACATCCTTCTGCCATGTGACAATGGACCTGATCCACCCTCTTTCTGGACCTCAGTTTCCCTTTCTGTCAAAGAGAGGGGTTGCACTGGATGTTCTAAAGGCCTTCTCAACACTCCACTTGGGATCGCTGATGGGATGAAATAAAGTATGCAGAAGTGCTTGGCTTGTGACTCAGACACCCCCAGGACCCAGAGCAGTGTCGCTGCTCTCTGCATTTTCAGCCCAGGCCCTGCTGAACTATTTCCCTTCTTTGCAGGGGCCCCTCCTCCCTGTCTCACACCGTTCAAGCTCCCCAGGCCTCAGCTCTGCCCAGTTATGCTGCTCCAGATGTGGAGTGTTATTCACACAGAGCCCAGTTGAAGACCATCTGACAACAGCAGAGGGGTGGGAGTGGGGGCTGCTGGGAGAGGCCAGAGGGCAGGCCTGGTTTGGAACTGCCAGGGAGAAATCTCTCTGGGATTGCAGAGGTTCACCCTGCAGGGCAGTGGGGAGGGGAGGGAGGAGTGAACATAAGTCTCATCATTTCAACCCAACTGCCACCTCGCCACTGAGAACGGAATGTCCTTGGCTGGTCAAGGACGTCTGGGGGTCTGGGGTTTAGGGATTTCCAGGCAGGAGCCAGATGCCTGGCCTTTGGGAGTCTTGTGAGCTTTGTTTATGCGAGGAGGGGTAGGGACAAAAGGGAATAGGTTGGTGTTCCATCTGGGGGATTGTAGCTGGATACCAGAAGGGGCTCCTGCTGGAGTGAGGTTGTGGAATCTTCCCATCTCTGATGTGCCCCACTCATGGTGGTGGGCTCTGACCTTCGTGGAGGTTGGATCGGCCACCTGGTGGCAGAATGGTTATGACATCAGATTGTGCACCCTGAGGTTCCCTACCTGAGTTGCACCTGCCGCCCAGGCCCCCGGCAGTGGTCAGGAGCTATGCAGTTAGACTACCTCCTTCTGGATTCTAGCACCCCAATTCCTGGGTGTGTGGCCTTGAACACATTGCTTAAACTTTTTGGACCTCAGTTTCCCCTCTATACATTGGGACTCAGCATCTACCCTCTAAGGTTGTTTAGAGCAAAAAAGGGAGCGAATAATCCATTTTATTAGTCTGTATTCAGAATCCTCCAATGGCTGCCCACCTTACTTGGAGTAAAAGGCCAGGTCCATTGGCCAGTACAACCCTACATGGTAGGTATCCTCTCTGACTTCATCTCTTAGAAGCTTGATCCATCACTCACTCTGCTCCAGTCACCTGGACTTCTTGCTGGTCCTTGAATGAGCCAGGCATGTTGTTGCCTCAGGGCCTTTGCACTTGCTGTTCCTTCTGCTTAGACAGTGCTTCCTGAAAATACTTGCCAGGCTTTTCCTGTCCTCCAGGTCTTCACTCAAGTATCAGATTTCCACACCCCCCTGCCAACCCTCTCTCCCTTTTGTGCTCTCTTTGCCCCTTAGCATGCATTACCATCTGATACACTGCACATCTTACTAACTCACAATACTTTCCCTATAGCATGTAAACTCTATGACAATAGGGGATTTTTATCTGTTGCATTCAATGCTGTATCCCTACTGTCTGGCATGTAGGAGATGCTCAATACATGTTTATTGAGTGGCTGGGAGAAAGGCATTCAGTTGGATGCCTGGCACAGATTAGGCTCTTGATAAACAGGACTGCTGTTGCTCTTATTCCCTGGCTTGCTGGTGGGCGGGGGTCTGTTGGAGGGGGAAGGCCTCCTGTTGGAGGCTCTGCTGCTGTCCGCTGTCTGCAGGGAGTGGGACAATGGCTCAGGGGAAAGCGGGGAAGGTTTGGCTGCCCCAGAGAGCACTCAGCACCTGTTTCCTCAAGGCAGGCGAGGCAAGTGCTTTGAGCAGGTTCACCAGAGGGAGGAAAGGGAGGATTGTATTTTTCCTTCCCTTTTCTTTATGCTGCCTGCCCTTCAGCCTCTGCGGAGCGGCTCTCCTGCCTCCCTGCTCCCTCCCTCGGGTCTCACAGTATGTTTCCGGTCTGTCTGTTGTGTTTTCTCCATGTCTCGTTTGGCCCCAGCTCTCCCTCTGGCTTTCTTACCCATCTTGCTTAACTCCTACCCCTCTGGGATTGGGACCCTGCTTCTCTGGGCACAGGAATTCTGCCCAGGTTCTGAGCCCTGTCGGTAAAATACATTTTCCAGCCTGTGCCAGGCCAGCTGGGGCAAAGTGGCTTAATCTTCAACCCATGTTTTCATCTTACTCAACAGATGTTGCCCAAGGCCTTGGGGAGAAGGGTCCCAGGGTCACCTGCCTCCTGTGGGGTCCACTGGTTGGGGCAGGATGGAGAGGGGAGGGGGCCTGTTTGTCATGGACTTTCCTGATCCTTGGAAAGAGCTGAAGCAGCTTTTCTCCGCTTCAGACAAATATAAGTCGAAAGGAATTTCCCGAGGGTGATAGCCAAGTGGAGTGGCCACCGAGGTCAGCCGGATGGCGAGCCCTTCTGCACATGCAGCCTGGCACCCCGGAGACCTGAGCTGGGGAGGAATAGGTGCCCACTGCTTTTCCTCACACAGGCCAGCCCTGTGGCAGGTGCTCAAAATGTCCTTGTGGGATGAATTGGAGGTCGGGCTGGGCAGTCGGGTGTATGGGGGGTGAATGAGGTAATGGGGAAGCCAGGCTGGTCTCACCCGTAATAGCAATCAGAGCAATGGTGAAAAGATAGCCCTTGTATGGAGTTTTCTATTTGCCAAGGACTGCTCTGAAAGCTTTGCAAAATAAACTCATTTATTCTTCACTCTGAGGGAGGTGCTGTGATTATCCCAGTGTCACAGGTGAGGAACTGAGGTCTGAGGCCACCCAACTATTCAGAGGGGAAGCTGGCATTGCGACTCAGTAGTCTGGTACCCCAATCCACCCTCTCACCACTGAGAATGACAATTGCCACTCCCATGCATAGCACCTGTGGTTTTCAAAGCCCTTCCTCTGACACTGGGCAATTCTCAACCCACAGCGAATTTTGAGGAGTCTGGGCAGATGTGAGTGCATTCTGGGAAGGCAGGAGGAACGTGCGCTGAGGAGCACTGTGGCTCAGAAGGGTTAGGTCACTTGTTCATGGTCACACAGCAGTGGCGGTGCTGTGTCAAGAGTGGGGTTTGGGATTCCTGGTTCTGCTTTCTCTCCAGCATCCCCTTGGTGCTTGCTGCTGATGTAAATACTTGATATACCAGGTGTTCTCCTCCGGGATTTCTTCTGAACAGCACCATCCCCGAGCCCACCTAGCTAGCTTCTGTGTGCCAGCGGGCCTGCGTCTCTCTTTCCATCTTTCCTTCAATCCTTCCTCCTAAAAAACATTTCTGGAGCACCTACCTTGAGCCAGGACTGTTTTAATGCTGGGGCTGCAGGGTTTTTCTGCCAGGGTGCCAGGTGTTCTAGAAGGCAGGTGAAGGGGGAGTAGGTATAGAGCGACAGTGGGGAGAGGACTTTAGATGCCATCTAGCCCAGTCTCTTTTTCAGGTGAGAAAACTGAGGCCCTGAGGTTTTATTTTTAACTTTAATTATTTTAAAAAATTGTAGTAAAGTGCACACAGCATACAATTTACCATTGCTACCATTTCTGACAACATAGTCAGTGCTGTTAAATACATTTCTATCATTGTGGAGCCATCACCTATTCCTCTCTAGAAGTCTTTACATCTTATAAAATGGAAAACTCTGTGCCCATTAAATACTAACTCTCCATGCCCCCATCCCCATTCCCTGCCAGCCACCATTCTACTTTCTATCTCTGTGAATTTGACTACTTACGTACCTCATGTAAGTGGAGTCTTTATGTCTTTTGTGACTGGCTTATTTTACTTAGCATAATGACCTCAAGGTTTTTCTATGTTGTGGCATGTGTCAGAACAGCCTTCCTTTTCAAGGCTGAATGATATTC